GTTCTGTAACAGAAACACTAAGTATGTTGTTGCCCACATGATCCAGATCAAGAGGGAGGCCAGCAGTGTGGCACAGTGGGTAGAGCCAGGCAGCCCGAGGTTAATACCTACCTTGCTGGACGGCTGTATGTTCTGGAGATCGTGCATGTAACATGGCTGACACATGTGAATATCCAAGAATCACACTTCAAATGAATTATTAGAACAGCTCCCTTTAGATTGCAGGGGGGAGAAATTCTACTCTCAGAGGTTCTTCTGAACCCAAACTTTTGTTTACCCTCAGTATGGTGTATGTTTTCATAAATATGACACAGTCAGCAACCTCTCCTGCGCCTTAGTCACACAAATGATTCACATTCCCCAGGCATCACCCTGAGCTTTCCAACGAGCCAGCTCCTGCTCACACTATGCTACTCTTCCAGGAAGGCCTTGTGCTACTGATTCTCTAATCTGACCCAGCCATCAAGCCCTGCTTATCCTTCTAAGCCCAGCCCAATGCCAGCTGCACCAAGGCTGCCTGGCACCTGCATCCCCACCGCCCCTCGCTGTGCCTGCACTTTTCCCGAGGCACACACTGGCTGCCGTTTGTCCTGTCTGCATTCCTCAGCACCTGAGAGCTCCTCCAGGGCCTGGGTGTTCAGCCACCCACATACCTGACAACACCTGCACGTGGTGTTCATGCAATGCCCGCTGGCTTTGACTCAGCAGTGTCTGAAGCTGCAGAGAAATTGGGGGAGAGGGGAAATTGTTGGGGGGGGGGGCAAGGATTGAGAAACACTCTCTGGGTTTACATCCTTGGTGACTTTTCAGAGAATAGGTTCCTGAATGGCAGGGTAGAGCTGGGAAGTCCAATGGCAAAGGTTAAGGACTGGACACTGAAGCCACAGAGGAATTCACAGGCTGCTCTTACAGAAAGTTTGGCAAAATGTGCAAGTACCTGTGGATGAAACAACATGATGTCTGGAGTCCACTTTGAAACTGTCCAGGAAAAAAGAGAAAACAGGAGTAAGGGAATGTTTGAAATTTTTCATAATGGAAACAGAACAGCAGAAACAAATGAATGAAAAGATTTGGAAATGAGAAAAAAGGCTGTCATTTGCCAGACCCCTGCAGTTTGAAATGGATAGAATGCACCTGTGTAAGAAATACGTCATTTATTTTCCTTGACCTATGTTGGCATACTTGCTAGGCAGATTTGATTCTTTTATCTTCTATACGTGTTCAGGAAGTGCAGGTGGCAGATGATGAACACCACCACCACACGCGTGTCTAACACCAATGCAGTCACTAAACCATTTCACTTCTGCACTGTTTTGCATTCTTTACAAACATTTCATTTGATCCTCATAATAGACTTGTGAGGTATGTTGCAAATAGATTGTTCCCACTGGATAAATGAAAAGCACTGAGATTTCATGACTTACTTATTTGCACATAACTGGCAAGCGGAAAAATATATACCGGTCACCGGGGCGCCCAATGACCCTTCCCTGCCCACTGCCTGCAAAAGGACTCAGCATCATTATGTTTCACATTAGTATCCTGATCACACTGCCCATCCTGAAAACAAGGAAATAATTGCTTCCCACCTCTTCATTCATGCATTGTCTTTCCCCATGAGGAGCACTTTTTCACGTTCAACATTCAGACAGGATAGGGCGCGTTCAGGGTGGTTATGGCTGTAGACTACCATGTTCAACATTCATTCAACAAACACAGCATGAGGCTCTGCCCTTTGGGAAGAAATCCACACTGTCAAGTAGCAAACTTGGATGAAATGTAAGTAAAGTGCACTCTGCCGACCTTTGGCGAGGCCAGGAGGTACAGTCCTATGCAGCAGGAATTGTGCAAGGTTGCAAGCTGTGCTTAATCGCTGTCCCAATTTACTTTTTATCTTTGACTTTGAAAAAGATTAGCATTCTTGGTTTGTACTGTATTTCAGCCATCCTTGTCCAAGATATTTGCTTTCAAATTTTCCGTTGTAATATCTAAATAGGAGAACTTCATTGCTCTCTTTATTCCTGCCCTTGGCTCTGAAGGTGCATCTCTTGGCAGAAATTCTCAAGTGTGTTTCAGGATTCAGAGACTGTGGAAGTTGAGAACTTGACATTGGAATTTGGTAAAAGATTTGAAGGACTCCAGGAATGCAGTATCTCAACCTGAAAAAAGTTTCTTCGGCTTCTGTGGTAAAATGAGATTACAACAGCTAACATTTGATAAAACTTAAGTATGCACCAAGCATCGTTCATATGTGTTTATCCATTCATTTCTCACAACAAGCTTCCAAAGCAAGTACCATAACTTTCCCAGTTCTACAGAAAGAGAGGACAGGCACACAGAGGTTGAGTCTCAGAGCTGGAAGTTGATGGGGAAGTCTGATTTCTAGGCTTAGAACCCACCATGCTATGCTCTGCCCTACATTTAACACCAAGGCCACACCAGGGCCCACACTAGTGGCAGGCTTGATTGCTTTGTGAGCACCGGTCAGGGAGTCAGAAATTTGCACTCTGACTCTGCCTTTGACTCTGATTTCTGGTCTGACCTTTGCCTCTTGTTTGTCATGATTCTCTTGTCACCATCTGACATAGCGTGGCAGTAAAGGAAAGAAGAAAATAGGGCCCGGGGAGACAGGCCCTGCTGCTGACTCAGCTGCTCCCTGGACAATCCCTGCCACTTGGAAAGAGTGTGTGATCTGCCACGGTTCTGATGTGTTTACTGCCACTTCGTGGTAAGAGCTATGCTCGATGCATGATTATTTTCACTTGGTCTTACAGATAGGATTTCCTGTGTTCTTCTGTTCCCCCCCACGGGGGGCAAAAAAGGAACAATTACATTCTCACTTATTGTGGCAATATCTTTTGCTTGAAATGATAGATTTGTTTGCTTTTCTAAAATAATTGTTAGTTGGCCTACGCCTCAGACCTGCTGAGCTCATTGCTGCTTCTCCTGCAGAGTGGCTGATAAAGGGGCCTTCCTAGGAGTAAGAGATGCGGAAGCTGTGCCGTTTCCGTTGAGTTCACTTGTGCTTCTATTACTAATGTTGCCAATATGCAGATTCTTTGCAATGATATTTTTAAAGCTACATATACTTTTTTTTTCCAAATTTAATTTAGTTAACACTAAATAATGAATTCCTTAAATCCGCTTATCCAGGCCCACACAAATTGTAGTAAGTGGCAACATGCTGAAGATGAATGAGGACATGAGGATGGGTGGCCTGTCTCACCACCTCATAGTGCGTGGCTTTGACATTCGGAGTAAGTGATGGTGCCAGCATCATCCATCTGGATTTTAGCTGTGTGTGTGTGTATGTGTGTGTTTGTATATATAGGTATGTGTGTATATACACACACACACATATACATGCACATACAGGCTGACACCCTGTCCCTGGTGCTCACCTCCTCTGTCTCTGTCCCCATGCCAAGCAGCGTGCTGTCACCCCGCTTCAGTTGTGAGCGGAGTGCACGGGTGGGGCCACCTATGGGAGGTATGTCGAGGGTGGCCTTGCTGTCACTTGTCACTGCGTGGGCCACTCCCCTGGCCTCTTCTGCCTCTCTCCTTCCTTTTATGGGGAAAAAGGAGGTGCTTCTCTCACGGAACTGTGGCTAAAGGGTGACAGCTCTGACCAAAAGTGAGACTCATGAGCATTGGGAGGAAGGTAGCAGTGGAGTGTCTGGTTAGTTTTCTCTGCGGACCGGAGCAGCCAGGCATCAGAGCCCTGAGAGCTCGGGCACCACCAGTGGTCAGCGCTTGGCCCTGGACGTGCCTGGTTCACTGGGCCGCGTTCCAGCGCCCTCTGCTGGCTGGACTGGCCTCCCTCGCTTGCTGCTCCCCAGTGTTTGCAGCCGGTGGCTCCAGTGCAGAGGTCAGGGAAGCTGCAGCAGGAAGGGTCGGATCTCTGAGGCCACAAACAGCATGCATATATGAAGAGAGGGCGTCTGTCCCCCTCCCATGTGGCATGAAGAGCCTCATAGTTGGAATAAAATAGCAAAACAAGGTGTGCAAACATTGTCGACCTTCCCCGTGGCCGTTTCTCTATCCATGGGTAACTCAGACTGCAATTTGCCTTGCTCCCTGCATGTGAGTTTCGCTTCTATGGTATAGGGCTCTTTGAATGTCAGTGTTATTGAGGTTTTGATAATTATGCACCTTCAAAAGATGTTCAATGTAATTCTGATCATACTCCTCTAAAAAAGCCTCAGATTAAAAGCTTTTGCTGGCTCTTTAGACCGTGGGCCTGCAATTACAGAAAATGAACTGCATTTTAGCTTTCCATTGAAATTAATAACAACAGTTCCCCAGTTGACTCTGTGAATAGTTAATGGAACAAACAGAATACTTCAGTACAATATGGGTTGGAAAGCCATTTGAGTGAGATTCTGGGTTTCAAATGGGAAAATAATTCATGCAATGCAAACCTGTTCCATATGTGCTCTGTACAGTAGGTGTTTCTCTGGAATAGAAATCCAACTATTTAACAAATGATTAATCATATCTTGGTCATCATGAACGTTCATGAAAACTGAGCTCAGGTACATGAGCTAACACATGGTATTCAGTGCTGCAGAGACCTGAGAGGACATAGAGATGGACCTCCTTCTTTGACAATGAAGAAACTCAGAGTTAGCGAGGTGGAGCTTTGGAGGCCAGCAATCCTGACAAAGGAGCTGCCCTGGAAGTGATCCTTTAGCCCTCTAGTAATGCAGGGTGAGGGAATATTTGGACTATGAAGAGACTGGGATACGGAGGTCAGGGATAAAATGTTGTGTGGTCCAAAGTATTCTCTGGTTGGGGTCCCCATTTCAATTTATAAGAATAAAACCTAAAAAGCAGTTAAAATTATGTTGAATTCAGCAAAGTTGCAGGATACAAAATCAACACACCAAAACCAGTTGCATTTCTAAACACTAACAATGAAAAATCCTAAAAGGAAATTAAAATAATTTCATTTACAATAGCATTATAAAGAATAAAATATTGCCCTTTTGGCTCTCTGAGCAGCACCATGGCAGTTGGCAACAATAAGCGCCTTACGAAAGGCGGCAAAAAGGGAGCCAAGAAGAAAGTGGTTGATCCATTTTCTAAGAAAGATTGGTATGATGTGAAAGCACCCGCTATGTTCAATATAAGAAATATTGGAAAGACGCTAGTCACCAGGACCCAAGGAACCAAAATTGCATCTGATGGCCTCAAGGGCCGAGTGTTTGAAATTAGTCTTGCTGATTTGCAGAATGATGAAGTTGCATTTAGGAAATTCAAGCTAATTACTGAAGATGTTCAGGGCAAAAACTGCCTGACTAACTTCC